CTTTGATACAAAAGGAAATGTTCATTTTTCCACAGGTAGCATATGATCTTATTACTCATCAAATGTATTCATAAAAACAGAAATCAATGAAAGGCAAGGATATTGTCTGCACTCCTGGATAATTCTTTTGATGGTCAGCTAATTTTCATCATCACCAGAGAAAAAAAAAAAAAACTCTCATCTGTTATTTTCCAGATACTTCTGTTCTTACTGTGTGTAATCTAGGAACTCAACATCCCAGAATTTCTTTTAAGTAATAATTCCATGGTCGCACGTACAATTTAAACAAAAATTACAACAAATCATATGCAACCAAAATACCACGTGTCTCAAAAAATAGCACCTTTTTTTTTTTTACGATAAATTGAATTTTCACATTAATGAATATAATTTTCTTCTCATTTTTGGGCTAGAATATAATTTTCTTCTCTGTTTCTCACTATATGGAAAGCAAGGAATTTACTCAAAAGGAAATTATTAATATTCCATATCAGCTGCTGAAGTAGCACCATAAGTACGTATTCATGAAGACTGAAATTCCACTCTATACTTTACATTGGACTTGCACTGAACTTGACTAGTAATCACAAACACAGAAAAGTAGGAGAAAAAAAAATAACAATGAGGTGATAGCATAGGGGGTAGATATCATATTCACTGCTTCCTCCTATTCAATCTTTCACACCCCTCCCTTTGCATCTTGGCTACCAGATTCTGAATGTCTTCATAAACCATTCGCGTTTTCTTGTGAAAACAATGTTTCCAATGACAACACCAATGAGGAGTCCACATCCATAACCTAGCAACACTAATTTCCAATCAAATTCAGCTAACAATCCAGAGTCTTCATTTCCTTCGGAGGTTGAGGATGCTGGAGGCAAACTCTCGGAGTTATAGTAGTCACATTTTCTTGACAGTGGCATTCCACACAGTCCTGAATTTCCATCGAAAGAGCTGTTTTCAAATGTATCAAACTGTTGGCCTTTCGGGATAGGACCCGTCAAATGGTTGTGAGACACATTGAAGACTTCAAGAAAATTGAGCCACGTCAGCTGTGTAGGAATTCTTCCTGTCAGCTTATTCTGAGAAAGGTCAAGTGCTTCAAGATTTGCAAGATATCCCAAGGTTGTTGGGATTGGACCAACAAGGATGTTATTGGAAAGATTGAGCAATTGAAGTCGCTTTAAGTTCCCAGCTACTTTTGGAATCTCTCCATCAAATTTGTTGCAAGAAAGATCCACGGCACTAAAAACCTCCAAGATCTTTGCATATTCCATTTTCTCTCCTTTGTTTGTTATTGTCATTGAGTAAGGAAATACAAAAGGAACGACGAGAAGGTTCACCATTATATAGTGCTTATACGCTTGCAAATATGTTG